GGATGGGCAGCCCTGGGGGACATCCGGAGTCTAGGTCTGCCCCTGCGCTCCACACCAGACCCTGCCCGAGGGGCTGAGGACACCGGGCTTCCCCCCCTCCCCCTCGAGTCTAGGTTTGAAAGGGCTCGGCCTTTCAAAGACTGGAGTGTGCCAGGCGATCCAACTGAACCGCCAGGGAGGAGCAAGTGGGGGTGCCTGTCCTGATGGGGGACAGAGGGGTGGTGGCGACAGTACCATGGGGACAGACCCCACGGGGACGGGGGAATATTGCACTGAGCCAGATGGGGGAGGGGGAAAGGAGGACCAGCTGGCAGGGGCCACATGGCAGCGCCCCCCTGGACAGTCTTGGAGAATGCCACTACATCGCTAAGGTTCTGTGGCCAAGCAGTAGCCACCCCTGCTGAGTAGCCATACAGGAAGTAACCAAGGAGAGAAAGGTGTCTGGTCCAGTCTCCATGAGGGGGGTAAGGAGGTGACTCCACTCTGGTTAAACACAGGTCTTTTTCTCCTCAGCCCCTGGAGTAGGAGACGCGGTCCTTGCACCCCAGGGAACCCCGGCACAGAACAGAATGGACGCAGACCGGCTGGGGAAGCTTAGGCACACACTGGGCGGGCAGCAGGGTGCCCGCAGGTCGGCTGACTTCTCCCACAAGGGGGCGATCACTGCACAGCCTGCCTGGTGAACCTTAGTGGAGGTGGGGCAAGGGGGGTAGACGTGATTGGGGGTGGGGGGCACTCAGGTTGCTTTATGGATGGACAACGACCCTACCCGACTATACCCGAGTGTCACCAAAGGTCCTGGTGACCAAGGGTGCCATGGAGACCCTGCCTACTGCTCTTGGGTGGTCCCCAAAGGGGCCACCATGTGCTCACTCTGGTGCCAGGTTCTGGGCAGGGAGAGGGCTCAGGTTTCTGGGGCCTGGAGGTCAGACATGAGGCCTTTGAAGGTCTTCAGCTCAGGGCAGAGGCCACCGGTCCCCACAGGCCAGCATGGAGGCCCCAGGCCCCGGTGGAGTCGTAGAGTGCCTCCGGCAGCAGGAAGGAGCAGCTTTCTCCAGAGCCTGCGGGGCAGCGAGGGGGTGGGGGGTGCTTATTGGGGAGTTCCTGCAGCAGCCAGCAAGTCTTCTGGCCCAGACGCTGGGCATTCCAGAAGCTTCCACTCCAAGCCCACTCCTGGCACCACCCACTGGGGTTTCCCAGGAGGGGGATGTGGGGTGGGAGGACATTTGGTGGCCTCGTCAGCAGTGGGCCTGATGTGCCAAGGTCGAGCAGCAAAGGTCTTGCCTGCTGGGAAGTTGCTGTGAGGGAAGCCCTGTCTGTCATCTTGCGGTCCCATGGGGGTCACCTGCCATCTTGGAGGCCTTGTGGGCACTGAGGCCCCTGAGTGGGTACAAGGGGAAGAGGCCACAGCCCTGAGCTCCACTGGGCAGGGCGGCCACCCGAGACAGCCAGGGCCCAGGGTCCTGATATCCACGCGACCCTGGCAGGCCCCCAGCAGGGTGTCTTGCTCACAGGTCACCTGGGTGGGGGCAAGGCCCCTACAAGTCCAAACAGCAGAGTCTGGGGGAGGAGAGGGGTCTCACGGGGTAATGCCTGAACACAGGTGAGACCCTGGAGCCTCTGCCCGGACAGGCACCCCGGGAGGGGAGGGCGAGGTGAAAGAGTTCCCAGGCAGCCGGCAGGGCCTCAGGTCAGGGTTCCAGCTGCTCGGGCCCCCAGAGCGGAGGCGGCAGCCATGGCGATGCGGACCATGTGGTGAGAGGTCTTCTTTTCCCGGGTTTTGGGTTCTGTTTTTCCCTAAAGCGAGCACTCATCCGTGCCTGGTCTCTGTGCAAAGGGCGAGGGGCCGAACCCATGGTGCGCGGCTGGTCAGGTGGGGTTCACAGCATCTCAGGTGCAGGGGCCGCCGGCTTCCATTGGGCGGGGGGAAGGACTGCGGCGACGACAGGGCCTGGGGTGGTCGGCGAGGTCCAGCCTGAGACAGAGACGGGCAGCAGCCCCAAGCGGTGCCCGGGATGGTGGCAGTCGCTCGAGTTCTGGGTGGGTGTCTGCATAGAAATTACTGGAAAGGAAAAATGGGGCAGCTGAGGT